CTTCAATTCTCACTTAGTCCTTTTGCTTGCACAGAGAAGGAAGTGGTGATTATCACACTGACTGAATCACAATGAAGCTCTTTTGAAATCCCTCAGCAACTAAAGAAATCGCTGTCAAAGGTCTTCTGTAAAGAGCCAGATTAAAGGAATGCAGCTGACTAGATAGGGCTAATGGCAGATATTTTATTGCCTGATCGATTCGCATTTGGCTGCACCAGAATATTTAACGATTTTTTGGGAAGACAGGAGAAAAATTGTATCAGTTTTAAGTCACAGAAAAATTCGACGAATTGGGTACAGCGAAGATGAAGAGGTGCAAAATTCATCCACAGCAGTTCAAGGATTACCTAAAAGCCTGAATTTTGGTGAATTACAATTCATATGTAATCGTCTACTTATGTAGCGGACGATTTCTCTAACAGCTTTGACCAGTGCTACATTGCTTGGTGGTCAGCTTGCTTGCGATCTTGACATTTGTTTTGTCCCTAGAATAAGACTCAGAGTATGTATTGCTTCCAGAGGACCAAGCGTATCCTTCATTCTCAACGCATTCTCTTGTAAAAAATTCTGCTTTTTCTCGACCTAAGTTGATTTATGCCATAAATCCATCGAAAAATTCTTCAATTTACTGATTTACTGAAGCAATTATGTATTGTTATGTTTAAGTAGCACAGAAGGAGCATACAGAAGAAAAGGCAACAAGTCATAATAAACTACAGATTTTACAGAAATTACAGATTCAAATTACAGAAACTGCAGCGTTCAGTCTCCCTGTGGTTGACAGCGCAAAAACTTTGGTCATCTAAGTGATCATTACCACGCATAGTTAAAGGCTAGCTTTCCAACTGCTTTGACCAGCATTGGCGGTTAGATTGCTAATACGGTTATGCCTCCTGAACGGATTATCAGTTCAATCGTTTTTCGAATTGTGAAGCTTTCAGCAACGTTTTAGTCTTCTCGAGATCATCAGTGTTTGCCTCGGGCCCATTGCACTGCAAATACTAACAAAAAAATAAGAATATGCTGCTTTCAGTTTTATTTGCCATTGATAATATCGAAGAAAAGAAAATCGAGCACGGCTTGAATGGCATGGATCACGAAGATGAGGATGTTCCGCCAATCGTACGATTAAGATTGAGAGCTATCGAAATACAGGTGCCAGCGCATCAAAAACAAAAACGTGCGCGCCCCAACACGGAATGATACTTTTACGCCAAATAAAATTCAGAAATTGTTCGGAGGGAGACATCTCATGCGCACCACAACCCTAAATTAAACTAAACTACCCTCGGAGTGCGCATTGCCCACGATGGATTAGGCGTATCCCCCATCCTCAATATAGTCTCTTCCTGTGGGAAATTCTACTTTTTCTCGACCTAATTATCCCATTTTTAGCTTAACTTTGCATCCTACTTACGATTTCAGTGCTAAATTTAGCAAACGAAATTAACTAGTGTTCGCACCTTCATTTGCTAAGCTGATTGTAGCATGTAAGTAATGTTATGAACTCATATAGGGTAGGCATGGAGCGAATTAATGGATGGATGCAGAAATATAGCTGGTGAAGGAAAAACCAAGTATGAAAGAGTTAAGACTTTTCGGCCCATTAAGTCATATACATCTTAGCTCAACACCACGACTGGACTTCGTCAGTATGACAGTTGTGGTGCTCAGAGATTAGAAGGAAAAGAAAGGAATAGAAGGGAGGAAGAAAGAAGAAAGGGAAGAAAAAGAAGATAGGGAAGGGAAGACTTTTTTACAGTTATGTTGAATTTTGAATAGCTGAAAAAAAATTAAAAAGTTGAAATATGAAATTAGAACGTCGATTGATGCCCTGTAGCTCCTGTGTTTGTTCGGGGCAACATCGTCATCGCCGTTGCTCCCACCTGGTAGGAGGATTGAATTCTTTTCGATTCATTCGCTTGCCAAACTTATTAATTTGAAGGCGTTTTACTCTTATTGCAAAAATTTAGTATTATTTTTGGCTCGAACAGATAGAATGAATAACGAATTTTTCAGCTGCCGGCTTTGCCGGCTCATGAACGATTGTTATTCAACGCGATTTATGATAGAGATACATATGAGCACGAGCGGCTTCTAGAGCAGAAGTATCAGTTAGATGAAAATTTTCTGGCTCTTCAGGAAGAAATTGACGCCGGAATGCGATACTTTGTGGTGGAATGGTTCTCTAATGTGGTCACGGATTTCGGATTTTCCGCGGTTAAACTTATGCAACCAAAAAGTTTTATCACATCTTTCATCCGGATTAAATTCTATTACTGAGCAGTTCTTACTGGATGAATTCTCAATCTCTGCTAGCATCATTGTCAGCTTGTGGCCGTTGTAGCGCTTCGTTTTATGCGTTTTTGCTAGCAAAAACGCATAAGAACGACCACTAAACGGAAGCTGCTTATCTCCTTTTATGCAAAATTTACCATGATTTACGGTATTGAGCGCACAGGGTAGGTGTGAAGAAAGAACCGTTCATGCAGTTAATCTAATTGTTTCAAGTTTGGTGCAAAATCGCATGATCGCACCGGCTCACCTGGTGCATTCCAGCCTGGGTTTGGCAAATGCTCACCTTTCGAAAAAGTGTAAATTTTTGAAGACACAAAAATTTCAGTTCTTCACTGAAAAGTGGAAGTATTGCTCGAGCGATCAT